TGAGTTGCTCTCTCTGATCGGCATTCTCGATTGTCTTCACATTTCTTTCCACTGGGCTTTCTCTAATCGTTTTCTGAAGTCATTTGGTGTTTTTAGATCAGACTATGTGAGCTGTGAGTATTATTAATATCCTACTAGCCTTGATCTGTTCTGATTTGTTGTGTCCCTCGGTTCAGGTTCTGGCAGAGGTCTTAAAGGTGAATACATCCGTCAGAGACATTCATTTGGAGCGGAACGGCATTGGCATCGAGGGAGCTAAGGCCAGGCTAGCCGATAGCCCCGTGGATTCAGAGTGGGGGCCTTCCTAGCTTGAACGTGCTTTTTAACATGCTTAAGGACTGCCATGAAACTGATTGTCCAAGAGACTCAGGGTTGGCTCAGCTTCAGGCTGCTCGTAGATACGAGCCTTGATCTTTTGATCGTGCGGGTTGCTCCAGCCAGGCTCTTGCGGAGGCCTTGAAGATAAATTGCTCTGTGAGGGACATCAAACTGGGTTACAATCGCATTCTCGACGAGGGGGCCAAGGCCTGGTATATGCACCGGGTGTCATTTGCTGCCATGCCGCAAACTCACTTTGTCACGCGCTTCGTTCTTGATCTTGGATGGTCTTGGTGTGTTCATGTGAATTGCTTAGTACGCTCAGTACTGTGTGTTTTTGAGAGTGTGATTGAGTATGATTGAGTTGCTCTCTCTGATCGGCATTCTCGACTGTCTTCACATTTCTTTCCACTGGGCTTTCTTCAATATTTTATTTGTCACCGTCGTTTATTTCCTCGTTCGTTGGTTTCCGATCAAGGTGTGCGATTCTTTCTTCTTTTCGGCCAGATGCCTGATATGCTTTGAAACGCTGATGGAAGTGATTGTCACATTTGATCAATTGCTTTCTCCGTGGCTGAGAGAGAGAATTATAAGGGATCTAATATTCAGTGAGAAATTCGCAGACAATCCACGGTGATATTCCCATATTCTCCTATAAGGGGGTGTGTGGTGGGGCAGGGCCGGGTAACATGTCTGAGGGAAACCGTAAGAATTTCACGATCTCGCAGGAGTGTGACGTATTGTTTTTGAATATCACAAGGTATTGATCTCAACACTTCAGCCAGGCACTTGCGGATGCTTTGAAGACACGTGACACCGACCAGACTGCCAGCGACAGTGAAGCTGAGGCCTGGCTTGCTCCCAGCTTCACACGAATGGTAGCGAATTTTCTTTCGCCGAAATAGAATATAGGATTATTCAGATGCAGCTTAGGAATGGAGGGAATTGTTTTGTTTTGTTTCGCGTTTTTTGTTGCCGGAATTTCGAATTGACCTTGATGATTGTTCTGACGTGCTAGGACAGAATGGGCGACCAACAGATTTCAGCCGTAGAACCTTTTGAAGCACCAGTCCGTTTAAAGGCGAGTGTGTCGTCTGATTAGTTCAATGCTGGTTCGGACGCATTCTAGATTGGACATCGATATGTGCGCAAGATTTAAAATGTCATAGCAAGCCAAAATCTGTCCTACCTCCACATTTGCGGTTGCTTCACTCTTCCCGATGGAACCTAGCAGATGCCAGCCTTGATGTTGCATTTCTCAATTCAGGCTCTTGCAGACGCCTTAAAGACAAATAGTTTATCGGGGGACATTGACTTGAAGGGCGATTCCATTGGTGCGAAGGGAGCGCAGGCGTGACCTTATTCAGATTGCTTTGATTTTCACCGTCTTGCAGATACTGGTAATGTTGATGTTGTAGTACTTTGTTCAGGCTCTCGCTGAAGTCTTGGAAACAAATACTTCAGTGCGGAACCTCGACCTGAAATTTTGTCGCATTGGCGCCGAAGAAACCAAGGCCTGGCCTGTCCCTGGTTCCAATTGCTTTCATGGCGTGTCATGCCTTTGCAATCCTTTGCATGCCATGCCATGCCTTTGTCAAGTGTTTTTGACGGGAGGTTGCAGCTTGAACATGTTGAATTCTTTTAGATGGCAATGCCAGCCTTGATTTCTTTTGACACCTTGATCTTTGTTGCTGCATTCAGGCCCTGGCCGAGGCTTTGAAGGTGAACAGTTCTGTTGAAGTCATCAACATGAAACGCAATGACATTGGCACCGAGGGAGCTAAGGCCTGGCCTGTCCCTGGCTCCAATTGCTTTCATGGCGTGTCATGCCTTTGCAATCCTTTGCATGCCATGCCATGCCTTTGTCAAGTGTTTTTGACGGGAGGTTGCAGCTTGAATATGTTGAATTCTTTTAGTTGGCAATGCCAGCCTTGATTTCTTTTGACACCTTGATCTTTGTTGCTGCATTCAGGCCCTGGCAGAGGCTTTGAAGGTGAACAGTTCTGTTGAAGTCATCAACATGGAAGACAATGACATTGGCACTGAGGGAGCCAAGGCCTGGCCTGTCCTGGTCTCCAACTGTTTTCATGCCTGCAATGCATTGCAATCCTTGAATTTCCGTGCCATGTTTTTTGTCAAATGTAGTTAATGGGAGGTTGTAGTTGTAGCTTGAGTATGTTTTTTCCCGAGAGCGTCTGAGCGCAGGGTGCTTCCAATAGTGGGGGTCTGTCTCTCATCTTCTCATCTTCACATCTTCTCACTTCACATCTTCTCATCTTCACATCTTCTCAACTTCATATCTTCTCACTTCACATCTTCTCATCTTCACATCTTCTCATCTTCACACCTTCTCATCTTCACATCTTCTCATCTTCACATCTGCTCATCTTCACATCTTCTCATCTTCACATCTTCTCATCTTCACATCTTCTCATCTTCACATCTTCTCATCTTCACATCTGTTCATCTTCACATCTTCTCCTCTTGCCCTCTTGGCCTCTTGCCCTCTTGCCCTCTTCTTCACATCTTCTCATCCTCACATCTTCACATCTTCATCACATCTTCATCACATCTTCATCACATCTTCACATCTTCACATCTTCTCCTCCTGCCCTCTTGCCCTCTTGCCCTCTTGCCCCTCTTGCCCTCTCCTTCTTTTCTATTTCTCTTCTGAAGGCGGGGGCAGGGGCAGTGCCAACGAGACGGCACGAAACGCAACCCTTTCGCACGAAACGAGGTTCGATCGCCCAAAGCTGAGGTAAAATTTCGATTTCAACTTGTCCGGCGCAACCCTTTCGCACGAAACGAGGTTCGATCGCCAAAAACTGAGGTAAAATTGCGATTCGAAGGTGTCCCGCGCAACCCTTTCGCACGAAACGAGGTTCGATCGCCAAAAACTGAGGTAAAATTGCAATTTCAACTTGTCCGGCGCAACCCTTTCGCACGAAACGAGGTTCGATCGCCAAAAACTGAGGTAAAAGTGCGAGTTCAAGTCGTCCCGCGCAACCCTTTCACACGAAATGAGGTTCGATCGTCAAAAACTGAGGTAAAATTGCGATTTCAAATTGTCCCGCGCAACCCTTTCGCACGAAACGAGGTTCGATCGTCAAAAACTGAGGTAAAATTGCGATTTCAAGTTGCTCCGCGCAACCCTTTCGCACGAAACGAGTTTCGATCGTCAAAAACTGAAGTAAAATTGTAATTTCTCTTGTCATTGTCTAATCGCGACCCTTTCGCATGAGATGAGGTTCAATCGCCCAAAACTATAGCAAATTGCGATGTCCTGTGTGTAAAAGCGTCTCTTTGTAAACGCGTCTGTGTGTAAAGCGTCTGTGTGTAAAAGCGTCTGTGTGTAAAAGCGTCTGTGTGTAAAAGTGTCTGTGTGTAAAAGCGTCTGTGTGTAAAAGTGTTAGTGTGTAAAAGCGTCTGTGTGTAAAAGCTTTTGTGTGCAAAAGTGTCTGTGTGTCAAAGTGTTTGTGTGTAAAAGCGTCTGTGTGTAAAAGCGTCTGTGTGTAAAAGCGTCTGTGTGTAAAAGTGTTAGTGTGTAAAAGCGTCTGTGTGTAAAAGCTTTTGTGTGCAAGCGTCTGTGTGTAAAAGTGTTTGTGTGTAAAGGCGTTTGTGTGTGAAAGCGTCTGTGTGTGTGCAAGCGTCTGTGTGTAACTGTGTGTGTGCAAGCGTGTGTGTGTAAAAGCTTTTGTGTGCAATAGTGTCTGTGTGTCAAAGTGTTTGTGTGTAAAAGCGTCTGTGTGTAAAAGCGTCTGTGTGTAAAAGCGTCTGTGTGTAAAAGCCTCTGTGTGTAAAAGTGTCTGTGTGTCAAAGTGTTTGTGTGTAAACGCGTCTGTGTGTAAAAGCGTCTCTGTGTAAACGCGTCTGTGTGTAGAAGCTCTTGTGTGCAAAAGTGTCTGTGTGTAAAAGTGTTTGTGTGTAAAAGTGTTTGTGTGTAAAAGCTTTTAAGTGCAAAAGTGTCAGTGTGTAAAAGTGTTTGTGTGTAAAGGCGTTTGTGTGTGAAAGCGTCTGTGTGCGTGTGTGTGTGCAAGCGTCTTTGTGTAACTGTGTGTGTGTGCAAGCGTTTGTGTGTAAAAGCTGTTGTGTGCAAAAATGTCTGTGTGTCAAAGTGTTTGTGTGTAAAAGCGTCTGTGTGTAAAAGCTTTTGTGTGCAAAAGTGTCTGTGTGTAAACGCGTCTGTGTGTAAAAGCGTCTGTGTGTAAAAGCGTCTGTGTGTAAAAGCGTCTGTGTGTAAAAGCTTTTGTGTGCAAAAGTGTCTGTGTGTCAAAGTGTTTGTGTGTGAAAGCGTCTGTGTGTAAAAGCGTTTGTGTGTAAAAGCTTCTGTGTGTAAAAGCGTCTGCGTGTAAAAGCTTCTGTGTGTAACGCCAAAAACTGGGGTATAATTGCGATTTCAACTTGTCCGGCGCAACCCTTTCGAACGAAACGAGGTTCGATCGCCAAAAACGGAGGTAAAATTGCGATTTCAAATATTTCAAGGTGTCCGCCGCAACCCTTTCGCACGAAACGAGGTTCGATCGTCAAAAACTGAGGTAAAATTGCGATTTCAAGGTGTCCGGCGCAACCCTTTCCCAAGAAACGAGGTTCGATCGCCAAAAACTGAGGTAAAATTGCAAGTCGAGGTGTCCCGCGCACCCTTTCGCACGAAATGAGGTTCGATCGTCAAAAAGTAAGGTAAAATTGCGATTTCAACGTGTCCCGCGCAACCCTTTCGCACGAAATGAGGTTCGATCGTCAAAAACTGGGGTAAAATTGCGATTTCAATGTGTCCCGCGCGACCCTTTCGTAAAAGCTTCTGTGTGTAAAAGTGTTAGTGTGTAAAAGCGTCTGTGTGTAAAAGCTTGTGCGCAAAAGTGTCTGTGTGTCAAAGTGTTTGTGTGTAAAAGCGTCTGTGTGTAAAAGCGTCTGTGTGTAAACGCGTCTGTGTGTAAAAGCGTCTGTGGGTAAAAGCGTCTGCGTGTAAAAGTGTTAGTGTGTAAAAGCGTCTGTGTGTAAAAGCTTTTGTGTGCAAAAGTGTCTGTGTGTAAAAGTGTTTGTGTGTAAAGGCGTTTGTGTGTGAAAGCGTCTGTGTGTGTGTGTGCAAGCGTCTGTGTGTAACTCTGTGTGTGTGTGCAAGCGTCTGTGTGTAAAAGCTTTTGTGTGCAAAAGTGTCTGTGTGTAAAAGTGTTTGTGTGTAAAAGCGTCTGTGTGTAAAAGCGTCTGTGTGTAAAAGAGTCTGTGTGTAAACGCGTCTGTGTGTAAAAGCGTCTGTGTGTAAAAGCCTCTGTGTGTAAAAGTGTCTGTGTGTCAAAGTGTTTGTGTGTAAACGCGTCTGTGTGTAAAAGCGTCTCTGTGTAAACGCGTCTGTGTGTAGAAGCTCTTGTGTGCAAAAGTGTCTGTGTGTAAAAGTGTTTGTGTGTAAAAGTGTTTGTGTGTAAAAGCTTTTAAGTGCAAAAGTGTCAGTGTGTAAAAGTGTTTGTGTGTAAAGGCGTTTGTGTGTGAAAGCGTCTGTGTGCGTGTGTGTGTGCAAGCGTCTTTGTGTAACTGTGTGTGTGTGCAAGCGTTTGTGTGTAAAAGCTGTTGTGTGCAAAAATGTCTGTGTGTCAAAGTGTTTGTGTGTAAAAGCGTCTGTGTGTAAAAGCTTTTGTGTGCAAAAGTGTCTGTGTGTAAACGCGTCTGTGTGTAAAAGCGTCTGTGTGTAAAAGCGTCTGTGTGTAAAAGCGTCTGTGTGTAAAAGCTTTTGTGTGCAAAAGTGTCTGTGTGTCAAAGTGTTTGTGTGTGAAAGCGTCTGTGTGTAAAAGCGTTTGTGTGTAAAAGCTTCTGTGTGTAAAAGCGTCTGCGTGTAAAAGCTTCTGTGTGTAACGCCAAAAACTGCGGTAAAATTGCGATTTCAACTTGTCCGGCGCAACCCTTTCGCACGAAACGAGGTTCGATCGTCAAAAACTGAGGTAAAATTGCGATTTCAAATATTTCAAGGTGTCCGCCGCAACCCTTTCGCACGAAACGAGGTTCGATCGTCAAAAACTGAGGTAAAATTGCGATTTCAAGGTGTCCGGCGCAACCCTTTCCCACGAAACGAGGTTCGATCGCCAAAAACTGAGGTAAAATTGCAAGTCGAGGTGTCCCGCGCACCCTTTCGCACGAAATGAGGTTCGATCGTCAAAAACTAAGGTAAAATTGCGATTTCAACGTGTCCCGCGCAACCCTTTCGCACGAAATGAGGTTCGATCGTCAAAAACTGGGGTAAAATTGCGATTTCAATGTGTCCCGCGCGACCCTTTCGTAAAAGCTTCTGTGTGTAAAAGTGTTAGTGTGTAAAAGCGTCTGTGTGTAAAAGCTTGTGCGCAAAAGTGTCTGTGTGTCAAAGTGTTTGTGTGTAAAAGCGTCTGTGTGTAAAAGCGTCTGTGTGTAAACGCGTCTGTGTGTAAAAGCGTCTGTGGGTAAAAGCGTCTGCGTGTAAAAGTGTTAGTGTGTAAAAGCGTCTGTGTGTAAAAGCTTTTGTGTGCAAGCGTCTGTGTGTAAAAGTGTTTGTGTGTAAAGGCGTTTGTGTGTGAAAGCGTCTGTGTGTGTGCAAGCGTCTGTGTGTAACTGTGTGTGTGCAAGCGTGTGTGTGTAAAAGCTTTTGTGTGCAATAGTGTCTGTGTGTCAAAGTGTTTGTGTGTAAAAGCGTCTGTGTGTAAAAGCGTCTGTGTGTAAAAGCGTCTGTGTGTAAAAGCCTCTGTGTGTAAAAGTGTCTGTGTGTCAAAGTGTTTGTGTGTAAACGCGTCTGTGTGTAAAAGCGTCTGTGTGTAAACGCGTCTGTGTGTAAAAGCTTTTGTGTGCAAAAGTTTTTTTGTGTGTAAAAGCTTCTGTGTGTAAAAGCGTCTGTGTGTAAAAGTGTTTGCGTGTAAAAGCTTTTGTGTGTAAAAGTGTTTGTGTGTAAAAGCGTCTATGGGTAAAAGCTTTTGTGTGTTAGAGCTTTTGTGTGTAAAAGCGTCTGCGTGTAAACGCTTCTGTGTGTAAAAGCTGCTGTGTGTAAAAGGGTCTGTGTGTAAAAGTGTTTGTGTGTAAAGGCGTTTGTGTGTGAAAGCGTCTGTGTGTGTTTGTGTGCAAGCGGCGTTGTGTAACTGTGTGTGTGTGCAAGCGTTTGTGTGTAGAAGCTTTTGTGTGCAAAAATGTCTGTGTGTCAAAGTGTTTGTGTGTAAAAGCGTCTGTGTGTAAAAGCGCTTGTGTGTAAAAGCTTCTGTGTGTAAAAGCGTCTGCGTGTAAAAGCTTCTGTGTGTAAAAGCGTCTGTGTGTAAAAGTGTTTGTGTGTAAAAGCGTTTGTGTGTAAAAGTGTCTGTGTGTAAAAGCGTCTATGTGTAAAAGCTTTTGTGTGTTAGAGCTTTTGTGTGTAAAAGCGTCTGCGTGTAAACGCTTCTGTGTGTAAAAGCTGCTGTGTGTAAAAGTGTCTGTGTGTAAAAGCGTCTGTGTAAAAGCGTCTGTGTGTCAAAGCTTCTGTCTGTAAAAGCTTCTGTGGGTAAAAGCTTTGTGTGTAAAAGCGTCTGTGTAAAAGCAACTGTGTGTAAAAGCGTCTGTGTGTAAAACTGACTGTATGTAAAAGCGCCTGTGTGTAAAAGTGTCTGTGTGTAAAAGTGCCTTGTGTGTAAAAGCGTCTGTGTGTAAAAGTGTCTGTGTGTAAAAGCGCCTGCCTGTAAAAGCTTTTCTGTGTAAGGGGTTCTCTGTGTCAAAGCTTGCTCTGTGTAAAAGCTTCTGTGTGTAAAAGTGTTTGCGATGCAAACTATTGTCTTGTACTTATGCTATATTGTCTTGATACTCCTCTTCTCGACTGCCTATAACACATCTTTAATATATTGTTTTCTAATATGGTGTCTCCATACTAACAAGAGGAGACCCTGCTCCTCTACGCTCTCGGGCCATCCGTCGTCTAGTTTCTCAGATGACAGCCTTGATTTCCTTCACATTTTGATCTTTGTTGCTCCGGCGCAGTCAGGCCCTGGCAAAGGCTTTGAAGGTGAACACGACTGTTAGGATCATCAGCATGAAACACAATGACATTGGCACCGAGGGAGCCAAGGCCTGGCCTGTCCCTGGCTCCAATTGCTTTCATGGCGCGTCATGCCTTTGCAATCCTTTGCATGCCATGCCATGCCTTTGTCAAGTGTTTTTGACGGGAGGTTGCAGCTTGAATATGTTGAATTCTTTTAGATGGCAATGCCAACCTTGATTTCTTTTGACACCTTGATTTTTGTTGCTGCATTCAGGCCCTGGCAGAGGCTTTGAAGGTGAACAGTTCTGTTCAAGTCATCAACATGGAAGACAATGACATTGGCACTGAGGGAGCCAAGGCCTGGCCTGTCCTGGTCTCCAACTGTTTTCATGCCTGCAATGCATTGCAATCCTTGAAATTCCGTGCTATGCTTTTTGTCAAATGTAGTTAATGGGAGGCTGTAGTTGTAGCTTGAGTATGTTTTTTCCTCAGATGACAGCCTTGATTTCCTTCACATTTTGATCTTTGTTGCTCCGGCGCAGTCAGGCCCTGGCAAAGGCTTTGAAGGTGAACACGACTGTTAGGATCATCAGCATGAAACACAATGACATTGGCACCGAGGGAGCCAAGGCCTGGCCTGTCCCTGGCTCCAATTGCTTTCATGGCGTGTCATGCTTTTGCAATCCTTTGCATGCCATGCCATGCCTTTGTCAAGTGTTTTTGACGGGAGGTTGCAGCTTGAATATGTTGAATTCTTTTTGCAGGAATCCAAACACCTGTGCCATCCCAAACCACTGTACATGTTTTTTTCCAGTATGAGTGTGGTCAGGAGAACATTCAAATTCATGGAGCATAGAGCCATACATGCACAGAACATGCATGAAGCATGGACCAAAGACTACAGTACCGCTGAAGCCGCTTTAAGCTGCCCAAAAAGAAGGACCTGCGGCCTGCAGGTTATGAGCCCAACGCAGGTGAAACACCACTAAGGCGTTGTGGCAGCCCAATCGACCCCGTTCTCTATCCATGGCCATGGAGACCAGAAGGAGGAGAGCGAGATCTGATGCAGAAGCTGCACAAGGCCACGATGACGAAGAACCGCAGGTACCAGATGGGCAACTGCAGATAGAGGACCAACCCCGGGAGGTGAGACACCTGGGAAGGAACAGATGAATGGGGATCCAACTGAGGACCCAAGGGCTGATGAAAGCAGGGTAGATGGGATGGAAACTGTTAGGGAAGGTGGATTTTTGCCAGCTGTTCGAGAAGACATGCTAGCCTTGATGAAACCCCCCACTGGGAAACCAATGGTATTGGGACCGAGAATTCCAGTGCCTGAGCAGAGCCTTGCCTTGCCGCTGTTCACAGCAGAGCAGATGAAGCAGGTTGAGGAGATGGACAAGAAGGCACCGCTGTTCTCAGGAGCTAGAGCTCTACGGGATCTTCCAGCGTCAAGTGCAGGAGGAGTGCATCTGGCGTTGGAGGACTTGCCAACGGGGATTTTTTTTGCAACACCTGAGGTGAGGAGACTAACTTTCCTGACCGATGAGGAGCAGAAGAGGACCGGGACACCTTCACCAGTGTGAAGTATGCCAGCCGGAGGAGGGTTCTCTGGAGGACTTCATCCTGGAGTTTATGGCGGCGTTCACAACGGAATGCATGGCTATGGAGCTATGCCAGACTTGGTGATTGCAATGCTTCATCAAACACAACAAGAAAATGAAAGGCTGCGGACGGAGTTTGCGTCCATGGCTGGTGAATTGGACTCCATGAGGAGAGCCAAGCTGGAGTTAGAAGCTGAGAAGGAGGCCCAGGAGGAGAAGGCTGACTTCGAGACGCCAGAGAGCCAGTTTGGGAAGAAGCAGAAGTCCAGTGAAGTGGATCTTGAGGAGGAGCGCATGGGGTTGTACGAGATGACGCCCAGGGAACAGTTCCAGAAGCTTCAGACCATGATGGACGAAGTGTGGAGCCGAAACCTAAGGTTGAGGATCGTCGAGTTCTTCACGCTGCCCACGGAGGAGAGGTCGAGAAGATTTTGCAGAAGGTGCAGGACAAGAAGAACCTGAGGAGGCTGGATGCGAGATCAAGATCACCAGGGGCGAGAGGAAGTGAGTGGAGCTAGAAACGAGTCCAACATGACCAAGGGTGGGAATGCTACACAAGACCCTGAGAGGGTCAAGAACGAATGCAGAAACAGATGGATGTGATGACCAGGATCATGATGCACTTAGCTTGAGAACAAGTCCAGGGAGGATGATTGCATGGAGCAGGTGAAACCTGGTGTGACCCAATTGCCGATGTTGCAGGAACCCGGTGATACCGCACCAATCGACTTTGCGGATTGGCTGACGTCCTATGATCGAGCCGGCGATGACCGACTTGAGCGATGGTAGCCACTTTTGGTGGACGAAGGTCATTTAGGAGTGCGACATGTGGTACAAGGACTACGTGAAGTTGCGACCATTGCAGAAGGCGACGTTTTCCATCCAACCTTCGGAGGAGCTGAAGAAGCTGAAGCGGACGAGGGTGGACTGCAGAGCTACGAGCATGTTGATGGCCGCGATCCCGAGTGGTGCCAAGGAGGAGTTGATCAGCACGAAGAGTTTGTCTCCCATGAAGATCGTCTCCAAGCTGATGACGCCCTATCAACCTGGTGGTACTCAGGAGAAAACGGTGATTTTGAGACAGCTGGAGGATCCTGGCGAACAACCGAATCCAGGAGCTGCAGCAGGAGCACTACGACGATGGATCAGGTGGCGTCGACGAGCTGAAGACATCAGTCCAAAGCCTGCCTGACCCAACAATCCTGATGAGAGGATTGACCAAGTTGACCAAGAAGGTGCTAAGCCAGAATGCGGAGCTTGCATTTCGCACATCGCTGGTGCGGAACACCTTGCAGCTGGACACAGTGCCCAAGCACCAGACGGTCAGAACGTTCAGCGAGCACATGTTGGCTGAATTGGACCAATGGTTTCATATGGAGAAAAAAGGGGAAGCAGGAGAGGAGGAGGTTGTACCTTTGCCCATACTCTTCTTGAACCAGGTGAACGCCGATGCTACAGCTGTGGGTCGACCACACACTATGCCAAAGAATGCCCACGGAGAGAATCTTCAACCAGTCCCTATTGGATGCCAAGGTTCAGAAGCTCACCAAGTCCGAGAAGACCAAGGAGGAGCCAGCGACCAAGGTTGTGCCACAGAAGGAAGTTGAGGAGATTAAGACTGAGGAGAATGCAGCAGCCTTGACGAGTCGAGATGCCTCGTTGCAGGGCATGTTGGAGGAAGTCTCGAAGATGTTGAGGGTGATCAACGTCCCAGAGGACGGCAAGCAGAAGGCTGACAAGGTTCAGGAGAAGAGGAGACTTGAGGAGCTGCGGAAGGAGCTGCAGTCCATGGAAGCTGGATCTTGGAGACCTTCGATGAAGATGTTCAGATCTACGGCAACAGTCGCCAGGATCAAGAAGGGCCTGAATGCGCTACTTGACACTGGTGCGACACATGCCATGCGACCCAGGAAGACCAATGAAGAGCTGGGAGGAGATGGTTTCAAGGAGGTGAGGGTGAACCTAGCAGCTGGGGGAACTACAAGGATGTGGATGACCTCGGGGGGAACTTTTGGTTCATCAAGATCAACAAGTTGAACCAATCGTCCCAATTGAGAAGTTGGCCAAGGAGTTGGGATGTAAGTTTGAGTGGAAGGATGGGACTTGCACTTTGAACCATCCCGAAAAAGGCGAGGTTGTTGTCGCCATTGTGGAAAACTGCCCGCAGATCGCCTCTGAGGTGGCGCTCCAGCTGATCGATGAACTGGAGGATGGTGCATCACTGAAATCACTGCAGCGCTCAGACAGGGAGGTAAAGTATGCGGAGGCGGACTGGCTTGAGAAGTTGAGGGAAGTTCATCCGATTTGCAAGACCGTGCCTGAGGATTTGCAGAAGAAGTTGGTTGACACCCCGGCGGCAGACCTGAGCAAGCTTGGAGTCAATCGGAGGATCAGAAAACGATGGCAGAAAGAAGGTGTCATCGTGCACCTCTACGCAGGGCCTGACGCAGGATACACCCTTCGGAGAGCAGTCAAAGAATGTGGAGGTGATCAAACAGGGATCTACGAGCTGGACATCGTCCGAGGCAGAGCTGATGACATGATAGCCGATGATGCGAAGTACGCAGCCCTTCTGAGGATGGCCATGGATGGCTGGATCGATGGAGATGTAGGTCAGTCCACTACCCATGGGGAATTCCAAACATGAGCTACTTGCAGTGGCAGAAGGTCTATGAAGACGACGTCTTGCTGCTGATGATGATGATGCTCTACGTGGTGGCCCAGATGGGAAGAGATGTCACTTTGAGGAACAACACGACGAAGGCCTTGAAGCCTCGTGTGGCATTTTTGATTGAGCAGCCGGCGATCTCGGAGAGGTTTCCGGAGAGCGCGTCTTTGTGGAAGTTGGAGTGTTGGCACCTGATGAAGTTCTTCTACCACTTCAAGGAGTACACCTTCATGCAGGGCGACTTTGGGGGTATTGCGAGGAAACCAACAACTTTGGGAACCAATTTGGAATTGACCTTGCCTGACCCAAAGGTGCATGGTGGGCGATCTCGAGAAGATGGACCTGACATTGATTCCAGGGAGCTTGCAAGATGGGCTCCACGGATGATGAGAGAGATTGCCACCGCCCTGACACAGCAGGTGCAAGACAAGCAAGTGATGATGAGAAAGCTGAGTTGGCAGGAGCATGTAGCCAATGTGCACTTTCCATTTCGGAGGGACTGTGTCATCTGCCAGCGTGCCTCAGCGACCAGAAGACCTCATCGACGACAAGAACATCCTGAAGCTCATGTTCTGGCATTGGACCTTTGTGGACCGCTGAAGTGGGGAAACGACATTGATGGCGACGAGAAGCGCTATCTCCTTGCGGGTTCCTACACCTGGCCTGCTGAGGGGAAAGAGCCAATTGACCTGGACGATGACGGGGCGCCTGAGGATGAGGTTGAGGTAGAAGGTGAGGAACCACTTCCACAACTTGATGATGAAGAGAGATCTGAGGATCGACGAGAAGCCGTTCGCCAAGCAGGCGAGAGACGAGAAGAAGAGGATGAAGCCCGAAGGCGGGCTGAGCGAGGTGAGGTCGAAGAAGTGGAGGAAGAGGATGATGATCAGCAGAAAGAGGATGAGGAGCAGCAGGAAGAAGGTGGAGCACCCAGAACTTGAGGAGAAGTTCAAGGCAAAGAAGGTGCTGAAGCTGATGACTTGTGTTTCTCTTCCATCAAAAAGTTCAATGGGCGTGCTAGCGGGCACACAGGAGCTGCTGGTGAACCTGCGAAGGCATGGCTATCCAGTTCTCAGAATCCACACCGATTCTGAACCGACCTTTACCAACCGACAGTTCAAGGCATGGTGCAAAAACAGGGCGATGGTGAGGACACAATCATGTCCTGATGAGCATCAACAAAATGGCCGAGCTGAGGCAGCAATCGCCTCCATCAAATCAAGAGTGAGGAAACTGCTTCATGCTTCGAAGATGGAAACTACATGGTGGAGCTCGAACGGAGGAGGTTCGAGAAGATTGATTAGAAGATTCCACAGTTTGGCCAAACAGTGGTAGCCAGAAAAAGGACTTGGAATCGCAAAGATGAGTTTGAGACAACGTCGGAGAACTTCAAGTACATGACGCCGGTTAAAGAGTGCTCCAAGGAGCATGCGGTGCTGGACTCTGAGGGAGGTTCCAAAGTGGTGAGCTGCGTGATGAAGGACCTGAAGAACCCTGAGGAGCGAGAGCATGAGTGGGAGATGGTCCCTAGAGAGTTGGAACAGCCGGCAGTACTGAGGAGAAGACTGAGGCAGAAGACATCAGTCTCGACGTTGCAACTTCCAGAACAAACACATCGAGATCGCATCCAGATCTTCCAAGCGCTGGTTGAGGAGGAGAAGGCCGTGATGACCGATGATCCTGATGTGGCGCCAGCGGCGACGAAGGGGCTGATGGCGATGAGGCTGCTGCAGATGGCAGCTCAACAGCGTGAGGACGAGGATGAGATTTTGCAGACCAGAGTGGTCTCAAATCAGGAAGTCTTCCAGCAGAAGGAGCTCTGGACAGACGCGATCAAGAAGGAAATGAAAAGCCTCTTCGACAAAGGAGCAGTGAGAAAGCTGAGCCAGGAGGAGGTGGCCTACTATAAGAGGGAGCATGCTGACAAGCTGGAAGTAGTCCCTGGAAAGGCCGTCCACACAGTGAAACATTGCCAGTGTGCCCAGCTCATGACATTCCATTTATTTCTTTCAATTTCTTTTCTTGTTGGAGTCAATTTTTGTCAGGCCATTTTCAGGTATGGCTTGCACTTGTGCATGCAAGATGTGGATTTAAGCAGAGAAGCAGATGTTTGCCCAATTTTTAATCTGAACTTCTTGCTGTGAGAACATCGCGGCAGTTGGGCGACATTTTGTGTGAAAATAAGTTTGCAGGTGCCAAGATAAACCCAGTTGTATTGCATTCTCACAAACACGAGCACACTTCTGCTTTAGCCAGGCCCTGGCAGAGGCCTTGATTGTAAACACGTTCGTCAGCGACATCAACTTGGCCAACAACGGCATCGGCGTCGAGGGAGCCAAGGCCTGGCGTGTGCTGGGTTGGCAGTGGCTCCGCGAGTCATGCGTAGCTTACAGGCCTGGATATGAGGGGCTGGTTCGAGTGGGCTTGTTTGCTCGGAACCCTGTCTTTGTTTTGACCTATACTTTATGAGGTTTTATTCGGTTTATTCTGTTTTATTATGTTTTATTTGTGTGTGATCAGCCACGCTATGCTGTGAGTGACATGTCAACGATTTGAAGGGTGCTATCAACCCATGCAGGATTGTTCAGTCTTCCTCCTTCTTCCGAAATGTCAGTCTCGAGTCGTGATCCTTGTGTTGCCGCAGCCAGGCCCTGGCAGAGGCCTTGATTGTAAACACGTTCGTCAGCGACATCAACTTGGCCAACAACGGCATCGGCGTCGAGGGAGCCAAGGCCTGGCGTGTGCTGGGTTGGCAGTGGCTCCGCGAGTCATGCGCAAGTCTACAGGTCTGGATATGACAGGAGGGGCTGGTTCAAGTGGGGTTGTTTGCTCGGAGCTGTGTGCTTGTGATGCCGTCCAAAAAAAGGGGATATTTCATATTGAAGCCATGATTATCCAGATGTGATGCAGTTGTGTACCGGATTGTGGTGAGTGAGATTGGGCCAGGAGGAAGGCACCTCAATGAACCTCATTTGCGATGGTTCCACAGTCCTCTGAGATGTGGGGGCTTCTTAAAATAGCATTTCCCCAAGTCACCATGGGTTTCAATAATAAAATGGTCATCCATGACTTAGGAACATTTAGGAGACCTCCATGTCCGTCCTCTTCATCGTGATCCTTGTGTTGCTCCAGGCCCTGGCAGAGGCCTTGATCGTAACCACATCTGTCAGCGAGATCAACTTGGCCAACAACGGCATAGGCGTTGCAGGAGCTGAGGCCTGGCATGTTTCCGCGTGCGAATCATGCGGAAGTGACCCTAAGTGTGCATGTTGAACATTGAATTGCTTGCTCGGAACCTTGTCTTTGTTGTGGAGTGGCATTTTTTTTGTGCAGTCCGGATCGGTCCGGATTTTTGGCTTTGGAGTTTTTGTGTCTTTTGGATTCTTGGCTCTTGTGGCTTTTTGCTTCGTGGCTTTTGTGACTTTTGTGATCTCGGCTTCTCCGTTTCTTGGCTTTTGTTTCTCTTGGCTTCTTGGCTTTTCGCCTTTCGTGGTTTCTTGGCATTGTTGATAGCACAATAGCAGCAGCATATTGGCAATGGAATCTCTGTTTGTGCAATATTTACAGCCTTTTCTCCAAGGCGACAACCCCTCACATTCGCGCAAAGTTTCATTGGGGGTTTAGGCACTCTAGGGTTTATTCTGGATTGTTTTTGGATTTCTTTAAGGTTGGTTTAGTGCTGATTCAGAATTGGTTTAGGGTTTATTTAGGAACAACTAAGTAACAATGAGAACTGGTTTCATGTTTCAACATGTAGCAAAAACCATGCAAATTTCAGATTATTGCACCAATGCTACAAATACCATGCAAACAAGAGATTTCAGTTTATGGTAAGCATGATGCAAATAATATTGTGCAAATGCTGGCTCCTAGATGCTGCGAATTTTCTGCAAACAAGAGATCCAAGATCCAAAATGTTGCAAGCACTGTCCAAATTAGCGATTTAAGCTCCAAAATGCTACAAATAGCGTTCAAATCAGAGATTTCAGCTCCAAAATGCATCAAATGACACTTTTTAGTGCGACGGCTCCGAAATGCAGCACATACTCGTAGAAAGCAAAGCTGACCCAGACTGAAAAAGAGCCCTTAAATTGTCTGAACTAACTATAAAACATGAAAAATTAACATACATTTCAATTACGAAAGCCAGCTGTCAAACATGGCGAAGTTGCTCATTGCGAACGAAGTGAGAATAGGGGGTGTGGGGGGCGGTGGCTCAAAACATGGACCATTTTGAGGCACTTCCCACCTAATTGGGGTGGCCACCGTGGTCGATTTTGGATCGATTTTGAGGCTGATGTACCAGGTGGCAATTGGGTGACGGTGGGGTTCGACTCCCCGCTGGTCCGTCCTCCGACGTGCATTTGGGGCGAGTGGAATGGAGGGTAAAATGATGCAAAAATGGCGTCAAAGCATTAAAAAATGGAAAAACTAGAAAAGACCAATGGAAAAAGAGAGGGAATGGAAGGATAAAATAAAGGGGATGGATTGGAGTTCCGGGGCGGGGTGTACGATGGGGAGAAGGTTGGAGGGACAAGAGTGTGGCTTGGGCGGGCTCTTTGGGGCGAGGCTCTATTGGGTGGCTGCTGGGAAGCAAAGGGGCCCGCATAGTGAAGGTTGCCGATGGCTGCTGATGTCTGGGGGGGAGGTGCGTGGCTGGCGGTGCATATGGTTAGATTGGAGGGAAGAAAGGGCGTGGCTTGGGCGGGCTATTTGGAGTGAGGCTCTTTTAGGTAGCTGCTGGGAAGCAAAGGAGACCGCAGGGTGAAGGTTGCAGATGGGTGCTGATGCCTGGCGGTGGGAGAGGAGTGTAAAGTGTAAAGTGTAAGGTATTGAGTGTAGAGTGAAGAGTGTCGAGTGTAAAGTGTAGTGTGTACAGTGTAGAGTGTAGAGTGTGGAGTGTACAGTGTAGAGTGAAAAGTGTAGTGTGTAAAGTGTAGAGTGTGGAGTGTGGAGTGTAAAGTGTAAAGTGTGAAGTGTAGAGTGTAAAGTGTAGAGGGTGGAGTGTGGAGTGAGGGGTGTACAGTGGAAAGTGTAAGGTGTGGAGTGTAGAGTGTAGAGTGTCAAGTGTAGAGTTTAAAGTGTAGAGTGTGGAGTGTAAGTGTAGAGTGTAAAGTGTAGTGTGTAAAGTGTAGAGTGTGGAGTGTGGAGCGTAAAGTGTAGAGTGTGGAGTGTACAGTGTGGAGTGTGGAGTGTAAAGTGTAAAGTGTGGAGTGTAGAGTGTAGAGTGTAAAGTGTAGAGTGTAAAGTGTAGAGTGTGGAGTGTAAAGTGTGGAGTGTGGCGTGTAAAGTGTGCAGTGAGGAATGAGGAGTGTAAAGTGTAACGTGTAAATTATGGAGTGTAGAGTGAAGAGTGTAGAGTGTAAAGTGTAGTGTGTAAAGTGTAGAGTGTGCGGTGTGGAGTGTAAAGTGTAGAGTGTAAAGTCTAGTGTGTAAAGTGTAGAGTGTCAAGTGTAGAGTCTGGAGTGTGGAGTGTGGAGTGTAAAGTGTAGAGTGTGGAGTGTAAAGTGTGGAGTGTAAAGTGGGGAGTGTGGAGTGTAAGGTGTGCAGTGAGGAGTGAGGAGTGTAAAGTGTAAAGTGTAAAGTATGGAGTGTAGAGTGTAGAGTGTAAAGTGTAAAGTGTAGTGTGTAAAGTGTAGAGTGTGGAGTGTAAAGTGTAGAGTATAAAGTGTAGTGTGTAAAGTGTAGAGTGTGGAGTGTAAAGTGTAGAGTGTAAAGTGTCGAGTGTGGCGTGTAAAGTGTGGAGTGCGGAGTTTAGAGTGCAGCGTGTAAAGTGTAAAGTGTGGAGTGTGGAGTGTTTTGCTGTGTCTGTGTCTGTCTGTGTCTATGTCTGTCTCTGTATGGAAGGGAGGTTACGGGGAGGCATGGGAGCAACTTTCTGCCATTTAGCGGCCCTTTCATCGGCTATTGAATTTCTCTTCTGGGATCATTGGGAAACAGCTGTTTTGGGCCAAATCCTGGCTGGGAGGCCACGGGAGGTCACGGGAGCAAATTTCTGCCATTGGCGGCCCCTTGGCCGCCGATTGAATTTCTCTTCTGGGATCATTCGTTTTGGGCCAAATCCTGGCCGGGAGGTCATGGGAGGTCACGGGAGGTCACGGGAGGTCACGGGAGGTCACGGGAGGTCACGGGAGGTCATGGGAGGTTACGGGAAGGGGAAAACGGAGAAAAGTGGAGGAACGGCGGGAAAAAGGTAGGAGAAAACCAAAGAGAAGGACGGAAATGTCAAGTGTAAAGTGTAGAGTGTGGAGTGGAAAGTGTAGTGTAGAGTGTAGAGTGCAAAGTGCAGAGTGTAAAGTGTAGAGTGTGGAGTGAAAAGTGTGGAGTGTGGAGTGTAAAGTGTGCAGTGTCGAGTGTAAAGTGTAGAGTGTGGAGTGAAAAGTGTGGAGTGTGGAGTGTAAGGTGTGCAGTGTCGAGTGTAAAGTGTAGTGTGTACAGTGTAGAGTGTGGAGTGTGGAGTGTAAAGTGTAGAGTGTAAAGTGTAGTGTTGAAAGTGTAGAGTATGGAGTGTGGAGTGTAAAGTGTAGAGTGTAAAGTGTAGAGTGTAAAGTGTAGCCTGTGGAGTCTGGAGTGTAAAGTGTGGAGTGTGGAGTGTAAGGTGTGCAGTGAGGAGTGAGGAGTGTAAAGTGTAAAGTGTAAAGTATGGAGTGTAGAGTGAAGAGTGTAGAGTGTAAAGTGTAGTGTGTAAAGTGTAGAGTGTGGAGTGTGGAGTGTAAAGTGTAGAGTATAAAGTGTAATGTGTAAAGTGTAGGGTCTGGAGTGTGGAGTGTGGAGTGTAAAGTGTAGAGTGTAAAGTGTAGAGTGTAAAGTGTCGAGTGTGGCGTGTAAAGTGTGGAGTGTGGAGTTTAGAGTGTAATGTGTAAAGTGTAGAGTGTGAAGTGTGGAGTGTCTATGTCTGTCTCTGTATGGGAGGGAGGTTACAGTTGACGGTGGGTTCGATTCCCCCCTGGTCCGTCCTCCGACGTGCATTTGTGGAGACCGGAATGGAAGGTAAAATGATGCAGACATGGAGCCAAAGCATTAAAAAACAATGGAACAACTGGAAAAAAACAACGGAAAAAGAGGGGGAATGGAAGGATAAAATAAATCGTACGGATTGGAGTTCTGGGGCGAGGTGTGCGATGGGGCCAGAAAGTTGGAGGGAAAAGAGCGTGGCTTGGGCGGGCTGTTTGGGGCGAGGCTCTTTTAGGTGGCTGCTGGGAAGCAAAGGAACCCACATAGTGAAGGTTGCCGATGGCTGCTGATATCTGGGGGGGAGGTGCGTGGCTGGGGGTGCATATGGTTAGATTGGAGGGAAGAAAGGGCGTGGCTTGGGCGGGCTATTTGGGGTGAGGCTCTTTTGGGTAGCTGCTGGCTGGCGGTGGGAGGGGAGGTGCGTGGCCGGGGGTGCATGTGGTTGGAATGGTTGCTGCCGGCCAGGCAAGGTGAAGTGGCCGGGGGTGCATGTGGTTGGAATGGTTGCTGCAGGCCTTCAAGGTGAAGTGGCTTGTTCGGAATGAAGTCAGAGCAGAGGATGTGGGGCAAAAGTGGACACGCGGGCGATTGGAGTCATCCTCAACTTGAGCAACTGTCCACTCGTAAGCATCTCCTTGTCACAGTCTGTTCAGGTTGAGTTCTGATGTTATAACGAGTCAAGAGAAACGTGGATACTAATGGTCTTGCGATTGGGGTTATTGGGACCGGGAGTGGGCCGTGATGGGCCGGGGATGGGGCCTGTTGGGGATGAAGTGATTTTGAGCAACTTTCCACATGCACTGCTGTGCGTGGAGGATGGGGAAGTGAAATGTTTTGGTCTGAAAGAAAGGGAATTGGTGTTAGCATTGAAACGAGAGCCTTTAATATTGGCCATGTGAACAGTTTTGCTGAGGATCGTGCAATCTTGCGATGTTGGTTCTCCTTAATTTCAGGAAACCTCCATTTAGCATCGTGTACCTCTGCCGGTGTTCCCGCAGCCAATGTGGCACGTGGATTTATGGAGAGATACAGAAGGTAGTTCTGCTTACAAATTAGATGTTCGTGTATACTGCTTATGTGGAGTCTTTGGAAATTACGAAAGCCAGCCGCCAGGCAAGGCGAAGTTGCTCATTGCGAACGAAGTGAAAATAGGGGGTCCTGGGGGGGGGCTGAAAACATGGACGATTTTGAGGCAATTCTGCACCTAATTAGGGTGGCCACCGCGGTCGATTTTGAGGCTGATGTACCAGGTGGCAATTGGGTGACGGTGGGGTATCGATTCCTCCCAGGTCCGCGTCTGTGGGGTGTAAAGGTGGCAGGAATGAAGGTCGTGGAAGGCGCGTACGGATTGGAGTTCCGGGGCGCGGTGTGTGATGGGGCCAGAAGGTTGGAGGGAAGAAAGAGCGTGGCTTGGGCGGGCCTTTTGGGGTGAGGCTCTTTTAGGTGGCTGCTGGGAAGCAAAGGAGCCTGCAGGGTGAAGGCTGCAGATGGCTGCTGATGCCTGGGGGTGGGGGGGAGGTGCGTGGCCGGGAAGTTGCTCGTTCGGAATGCGTCGCGCTGCTAGAGAAATAAAAGAATCCTCCGTGCATGCACATAGTGAACCAACAGTGCTCATTTCGCAACATTGCTAGCCACCATTCTTTTTACGAAAGCCAGCCCATGAACTTCCTTTCCACCCGACACCGCTCCCCATCCAAATTGCTCATCACCTGAAATCGTCCTTCTCCCCATGGCGAACTCCACACAGCTTCCTCCCACCAGCTCACTGCATCCCTATCCACTTTCACTGCATTTTTCTAGACACCCGCCCGTAACCCATTCCTCCTTGCCTCCCTTGCCGCCGACACCACCCTGTGCCGTAAATACCTCCTCTTCCGTTTGCGCCCCAAAACCTCTTTAAAAGAGCCCGCCCTTCCACTTCCTCAAACACGCTCTTCACACTTTCCCTACCGTTACAACACTTCTTTCCCCCGCTCCTTCTTCCTACACATTCCTTCCTTCTCTCCAAAGACACACCACGGGCACCCAAACCAGGCCTCACCATGCCGGCTCCTCAGCCTCCCAAACCATGCCTCAACCAACCCCCAAGCGCAATCCCTGCCATGCTCTCCACTCTCCTGTCTCCCTTCCAACTAGTCCCTGGCTTTCGTCCCCTCCTCTCAGGTTTTTAGTATACAATAATTGTTGCGCTGTGTGGCATGTAAGCGATGTAAAGGGATGTGAAGGGTGCTATCAGCTCAGTTGCAACATTTGTCCTTCCGAAATGTCAGTCTTGAGTCTCGATCCTTGTGTTGCTTCAGCCAGGCACTAGCAGAGGCCCTGATATCAAACACATCTGTGAAGAATATCAACTTGGTCAACAACGGAATTGTTGTCGAAGGAGCTGAGGCTGGCGTGTACTGGATTTCAAGTTTACTTATGTTCTTGTTCACTGTTTGTCAAGATGGGGTTTGAGGCTGATGGATCAAAATTTCCGAAAAATCCGACAACACTAGGTAGTTGAAAGAAGAAAACCTGTTCCTTTGGTTTATCATCCTTTTTTGGGACGTTTCCATATCATTCGATAGCCTTCTTTGTTGACAGAAACAGGGTGAACTGACTTGTTTCAGTTTTCGATTGCGATGCAGAGTGTTGCGCATGTCGTTCCTCCGTCTATTCAAACCAAAAACATGTTTCAATTCTCCCAGACATTGAAAGTAAACAGAAGTAACTTGAAAAACATGACATTTTTTTTTTGCGATGGTGTTTGTCTCCAGGATTTCTGCAGGTTGAACATGTCCCGCGTAAGTTTGGGATGATGGGTTTGGCACCTCTCTGGTGTTTTTTTTCTGCGACAATCACGGTTTTCCCCAGCCACATGCTGTGACGAAACCAGGTCTTAGAGGAGTTGTTGGAAGAGAAGAAACGGATGGGTTTCGGGCTCCCCATTGTCTTCTAAGAGGAACATTGGGAAGAGCAACAGATCAAAATGGTCTTGTGAAGTCGATTGCATTGAACATGGTGCAAAAAACAAATGGTCCAGCAGATCTGGCGGAAACACGTCATGACCTTTGGTTGATCAAATACGAATCAAGTCTACGCGCCTTGTTCCCATTGGTTCAGAATCTTTACTTCCACAGTTTCATTTGCTATTGATGCTGTCTTGATTTAGGACAGAGGGATTCTGTCCGGACTTTGCATGCTGTTGGGTCTTGATACAAATATCTGAATACCCGGAGTCATTCCGCGAGTGATGCAGGAGGCTGCAGTATGGCACAAACTTTCTAATGGGTTGCGTTCAAAGATGAAACTTGGCAGATGGCAAGCATTTCACTGTTGGAGATTCAAAGCAGTTTTCGAGCTCAAGTGTTCCCCACATAGAAATTGCAAGTGGTAGAGCAGAGCGGAGATTGACATGTTCTTGCTGTTTGTAGTTTAGTGGTAGTGCACTGTCCATTCTAATTCAAACTCTGCGTAATTATATAAGCCACAATCAAATATGGAATTTGAGAGGGCCGCAACTTTTGGATGGCGTTTTGAATTACAATGAATTACATTCCACGTGAAGTTCTCTAAGTGACTTCTCTTTTCCACAAGTTTGGCTTAGCTTCCGTCCGCAGACAATGTCTCCTGGGTCTCGGGTGACCGCGCCATGGCATCGAACAATGGCTGCGGCGCAGGGAAGGATGTTGTGGACTCAGCCCAGATTCGCGAACTTGACCCTGGCAAACAGCTACGCCAAGCTTACCAAAGATGTACATGATGAGACACCAAAGGACCAACATGATTAAGACTGAAGCACTTCTTAGATGGACCCGGAAGGATCATTTTTAGGTAGCTCTTTATTAGTGGTTTCATGTTTGGTTCCCATTTTGAACTCTTGAGATTGTTGAGGAGAAGTTTCAAGACGCCTCGCCTTCAGCAAATTGGCAGCTCTCGAAAGACAATCTGAAGGCCTTCCACTTGTGCGATGTGCAGCACCTACAGGGCATCGGAAGCATCTAATGAGACAAGATGATAGCAACATAGCAACAGCGAACAAACCGAACTCTGAATCTGGTCTTGGTGGTTGTGTGTCGCGTGTTGAGTCGCATGGAGTTGCCGAAATCGCGGGTTTTTGCTGGGACTTACACCACTGCGGCATAAAATACTTGACCCACACAAGATCATAGAAGATCCCCGTCGTCTGTTGCTTTACTCGTACTGACATTTTTGTGAGTGTCAGGTCAGGTCGTTTTGTTTCGACTAATTGGTTTTGAGATTTGGAAAGGCGAGTTCTGAACTTCGGAAGCAAACATGGTGCAGCAGACATTGGAGGTTCGGCTGGTGAAAGTTTTTACGTCCGCATGGACGTGTTTGTCATCCATGTGTGATCCTGAGCATGGCATCAGTGACCCTGTCGGAACCAGTAATTGGAACATTGGCAAAAACATCCAAAAACATCATGGTTCGCTTGGGTACAGTATATAGGCCAAATTGTTTTGCACAGTGTCAGCTGTCTTCCTCTTCTCTGCAACTGCCACAGCCCAATAGCCACAGCTGGGCTCCTGTGCTGTTTGGGCCAAGGACCAGGCACTAAGGATAGGTTGGTTCAAACCAGTGTTGCCGAAGTAAAGGTTCCCGGTGATCCCTCATCAGACTCAATCTAACCGAGCTTCGGTTGTGGCAACATCTAACCATGGCATCACCGGTTGTGGCCAGGTTTTCGTGGCTCTGAGTGGATAGAGCTGTGACTGTGCTTTGCCACGTTGGGATGCCTAAACTTGCCATTTTGTCCCACTGCAACCCGTTTTTGGGATGTTCTTGTTGCAGCTTCATCTATCTACATATGATTGTCATTGCAAAGCCTTTTGAATCCAATAGACAGCACATACGGTAGATTTGAATATCTAGCTCACTTGACTGCATTGATGGACGGTTTCCTTATTCGGGTTTACACCCCCAAAAAGTGGGAGGAAAATTGCTGTGAAAATTGATGCTCGCGCTGGAAGCAGATTGTCTGATATGTTTGAAGAATGGATGCTGTTTCGACCTAGAATTTGTTGAAGGTTGAACGAACTGCCGGATTGTGCAACTAGGCAGATGTGATGTTCCGCATGGTTCTGCCTCTTCAAATCCCTGCTGATCATCAGTTGTAGTATATTCATCCTACTGGTCACCGGCTAATGAGTAGAGAGCAAGCTTCATCATGAGCACGAGCCTTTGATTGGCGACCATTTTCACATATTTTCACATATTTTCACATTATGATTGATACCCTCTGGTAATTTAACATAGCTATGGAAAATCACCATTTTTAATGGGAACGTCCACTATAAATAGCCATTTTCAATAGCTATGTTAAATTCTTCATGAACTCATGATTTTTCTCTGTGAATCCTGTGCCAATACCTTGGATGACACCGACGACAGCACCTGCAGTCCTCATCCCAGCGACATCGCCACGTCTGAGGCGCACATGACCTGCTGCTTCCAACAGCAGCTTCAATGAGGTCGATGGCCTCATCGATGAACTTGGATGAATCTTGGATGAAGCCAAACCAAGTAAGTTGGGTGTGTAAAGCGATGTGAAGCTGTCTCATTTCATCTCGTTTCTACAGCTTGCAGTGCCTGCTGTTGCGGTTTTAGAGCCATTGCTTCTACGCCTTTGCTTCTGTCGCCTTTACAAACGCACTTTCGCCATGCGTGCAAGCTTGCGTTGGTGTCGCTGCTGTTTGCAGCCGCCAAAAAAAGGCCCAGTTTCAAGAAGCCTTTCCCAGACCCTGCTCTCTTCCACCCTTCCAGGGGCCGCCATTTAGCCGCTGAATGGGAGAAGCCAGAGCGACTGCATTTCGAGGTGGAAGATGGTAGTCTTCGGCGATATCCTGTGGAGACTTGCAGGATTTGTATGGATTTGTTATGTCATGTTGCTTCCCCGTTTAGAACATGTCCAAGAGAGATCCTGTTTAGGTGGGAAAAGATAGGGAGCGATGAGCGATCATTTATTTTTTCTAAACTTTTATCGCAGTGTCCGGCAAGGAGCCTTTACATGGGGCCTGAACTAACGACTGTGAAAATGGAAAGGCCAAGAGAAGCTATACTCTGGGACCATTGACGTGTTCTGCTATGCAGCCTTGGAAGTCACACCACATTTCAAGTTGGAAACCAACAGTTACGGCGCCCCCACCAAGGTAGCGTTGACGTTGGGAGCCACTTTTGAGGTGAACTTCGAATTAACTTACGACTCCAGCTCCCGTGACGACAGTTGGAAGCCACCATCCTGTCTTCACTATGCCCATGTTTGGCAGCTTGGTGGCCAAACTCAATAGCTGGACCATCAACATGGGGATCTACGTCATGTATTTATTGAAAGGCCAGGCAGATGTGCAAAGCAACTTGGAGGGAACACTGCAGACGCGACGGACCTTTGAGTGGAGTGGTGCTGAAGTCGGCTGGACTCATGGGAAGGGCTTTGGCTGGTCCTTCGGCACAATCAGTAACACCGGCCCAACACACCCGATCTTGCCGACTTCTCAGCCGACACGCTGGGCTCGCTCCTTGTGCTGGTTTAGAGTTGAATTTCGGAGACGAGACCATGTCGGAGGTGTCAGCATGTCGGATCCTCAGATCATCCCAAAAGGCTCCACAAAAGTTGACATTTTCGGACCTTCCAGATCTCACATCTTCACTTTTGAGCTGCGCGTATAATTGAAATTGTCGTACCGTACGTGTTTCAGAATCTCGTCAAGCATCGATGATGATCAACAATGGTCAACAGTTTTCGCTTCCCATCATAACTATATCATCATTGACGATTGTCGATATCGACCATTGTTGATCATTGATAATGATAAGGATGACAATGATGATGTTTTTTTCATCACTTCCCATCATGATCATCCTCATTCTCCCATTCTTATCGTCATTTTTCGACCTGGCGACTTGCAGGGACCTGCTTGACCCAGGCTTGGAAGGGCATGTGGCCTACGCCACCGCCAAGGCGACCACTTCAGTGGCTGCAAGTGCTGTGTCCGCAACCTCAGAGGCAGCGGTCGGTGCCCTAAAATATGAGGTTTCCATGAGGTACCCCAAAATGGATGATTCATAAATATTCATAAAGAAAATCATTGAAATGGATGATTTAAGGGTGGCACCCATGGAAATCTCATGACATGAATCCATGTGAATGTTTGAACAACTTCGATTGAAACACTTGGGGTTGAGAAGATTTTCTGGACATGTCTATGGTGGCTCGGAACCTCTTGGTGCAAATGGAATTATATAGATGGCACCCAACTGCAAGCTGTCAGTGAAAGCTGTTGGGTCGGGGAAGACCTTGACTTCCAGAGGCCTACGATGCAGAGCTCTGTGTTGACATCTACAAGTTCCGAACCGGTGGGAAGTTGGACACTTGGTGGTCGTATGATGAACCATACGCCGCGTGGTGCTTCTTTGGAAAACGCTTCTACCGGCAGTATGTCTATTTCAGTGACGACACAGCGGAATGGAGCAAGGGCTATGTGTGTATGAATATCCAAAGAACTTGGCTGGAGTCCAACAAGCTTTACTTGCAAGTATGGGAAGATGATCAGTTCGGGTTTGATGACGAGTACATCGAGGGAGGTTCCAATAGCTTGAGGACTGTGAGCAAAGTGGATTGGAAATTGACATGTGCCCCAACGTCAGCTAGCGGCGGCGATTGGGCCTACCTGTATGTGAAGATAAAGATATATTTCAAGCGAGTGACTTAGGACTTGTGAAAGATACCCCGGTGTGGCCAAGTCCTATCTCATCATGCGTCGGACCCCCCTGGACAAGTCCCAACTCATCAGGTGTCCGATGAGATTAGAAACTATGTTTGATTTTTGTTTAGTGCGGCATGGACCACTCGTAAAACCATGATGACATAGGAATGAACTAGCAGAAATATATTAAGATGATCCTAAGTCATCACGCTCGTAGTGCAGTCTCGCGCGCGCGTTGGCGGAAAGGCAGGCTCGAGAACTTCGATCCAACGACGGGGTAGCGCAACGGGGAATACAATAGG